AGCAAATGAAATTCTGCCCTGGGTTTCCCACAGTGCAAAGACGTGCATTGGCTCAAGCATGCACCCGACCACAAACAAGGATGCCTAGCCAATGACGTACTCGTATCGGAGTAATGCGCGCGTGGGTGTGTGCGCGTGGGTGTGCGTGCACGTGGGTGTGTTGGTGTGCGTACGTACACACACACACATAGGAAATTAGAAGCGTGTGTGAGAATTGTATTCCACAATTTAGCCAGGTGTACTTGTACTAGACAAAAAAAAACTTTTTATACTCAGCTCCTTTCTACGTACGTGGAGGCGGATAGCATGGCGGAAGATGCAGCTCCCTTGGTGGCGATAATTTGAGGACCTACACAAGACATTTCACGTGCAAGATAAATGGTTGGTTAAAATACAAGCGTAAATTCAGACCCCATTACATGGTTCGTAAGCTTATTGTCCAAAACATTAAAAAATGTTTTGATTTAAACTTTAAACTCTCTAATGTTGAGCCAAAGTAATCATGGATTAAAAGAAAGGACAAAATGTTACAAGTTATGACTAGCTGTCCAGCAACGCAACCAGATCATGTATAAAAGGGCACAAACTGACAAGGAGTACTGAGACCTTCGACGGCCTGACACCTAGCTCTAACACTTCTCCGAGGCGCAAACTAACCAGCCGTGTAGAGGTGTTGGAGCTAGGTGTCAGGTCGTCGAATGTCTCAGCAGCACTCCTTGGCAGTGTGTGCCTATTTGTCGCACTCGCTGGCTGTATATGATCTGGTCATGTTTCGGTTTAGGCAACAGTTACAATTTTGAGAACATAAAATTCTGACTAGGAATAACTCCGTCCGATTGAGCAAAAGCTTTATTATCCGAACGATGACGAGCTAGCAAACCCCAGCCAAAGGAATAACATACCACGGAAGATATCCGATGGCTCAACATTCTGAAGAAGATACGAAATTACCGAAGCATACCCGTATCAAGAGTCCATGACCCCCCAGAGTGTGCAACTCCAGGTTGGGGTCTGGCGCAACGAAATCCAAACATTGCGTCATCCGGTCCATAGTCAAGCATGGGCGGATGGGGCCATGTGCATATCTGGTACATCCGCTACTCACTACATGACGTATGAAGTTTGGATTTCGTTGCGGCACTGATTTGTGCTGAGAAGGATCACGAGTTGCACACTCTGGGGGGTTATGGACTCTTGCCCGTATCCATCTTGTGCATAACAAAACTGAGCAAAAAGAAATGTCCTCCCCGGCCGGGAATCGAACCCGGGTCTTCCGCGTGACAGGCGGAGATACTTACCACTATACTACCGAGGATTGACTGACAACATAAACTGAAACAACCAAACTGATACTGTAGATGCCATGGTAGGGGCATTGCACTACTACAGTCAGACCTCGCTTACTACGGCTTCTCTACGGCTTAGGCCGTCATCACACCACGTTCTCCGACTCCCGTTTACGTCTACGTCTATGGTGAAAAAACCAAAACGGGTGGTCGTGTCATCAGACAGGCACAGTTCTTGACGCGTATACGCAGTCAGGTTTTTGGAGAAATTTGAACCCACGTACATCGAAGTACAGGGTCGCTCGGAAAAAGGCTGGGGGAGATACACACGTTCATACAAAAAGTCGTATACCCCACCTCTCCATACCACGTCTACGTCTCCCGTTTCCTCTGCTCCCGTTTCACCCCATATACGGATCATCATGACAACCGACCAAAAACTCCTTACGTGGACGTAGACGCAGCGCTTTGTACAATGGTGTGATGACAGCCTTATCCGGTCCTCTTTTATCCGGACCCCTCGCCATACGGAAGAAAATCGTTGGTTACCGATTTACAGCATATGCCATGCATACATACAGTATGTGTGCTCGATTATCCAGTTCCCTCGCCTATCCGGATATTTTTGTGGAAACGAATGCGTGCGGTTATACGAGGTCTGACTGGATACCACGTAGAAGGCGGCAGGCCTACTAAAGATGGTTTAGCTGACACAGTACTACAGTTGCGCTCACTGAAACCCGACCCAAAGTGCAAAACTGGCGCCCTGGACAAGTTCCGATTACATCACTATACTTGTGCATGCGTACGTCCAGCCGCATCCGTACTTCTACCAGGGTGCCAAGGGCCGTGCAGGCTGAGGGCGCCAGCTTTGCACTTTGGGTCGGACTTCACCGAGAACAACGGTAATAAGGCATGCCAGTGAGAGCGTTCTCTTCTGAACTCTCGCTCTTATCCTTTGCCAACACCAGCAAAAGCACAGACGGTGGTCGCTCGCCCAAAAATAAAATTAAACAAAACAAAACAAAACGCTGCTCGTGGAGTGCAGTGAAAGTCTAGGCACACTGGGAGAACTTTCACAACGTTGGTTGACTCAAAAGTAAAAACTGGCCCAGCCGACGTCTATTAAAGGGAGCATCTCATAAGTTCGCATTTTTTTCTAAACGTAACGAATTTCGAAACGGGGGTAGGGGGTAACGCCCTTTTTGAATAGAAAAATGACAGTTTGCACATTTTCCGGATGTGTACATACTGTGCATGCAGTGCATGTGCTAGATCGAATTCAGCAAATGAGCGTGTTTAGGTGTAGATCTATGTGCCTGCGTTTGGAGATCAGCCTTGCACTGCATGCATACAGGCTACTCAGAGGTGTCAAGTGTCACATCAGCATCATCAAACTGTGTACCTGGCCAGCTTTTACAGTACACAGTGGTTGTGGAGGAACTCTGTTTATGTGCGTGTACATGTCATTCATTGTTCTTGTACTCCGTAGATGCAGTACCGTACTGTATGCCATTCACTTTGACATTCATGTGCATACCATGGCATACAAGTCATGTGCATGGACATGCACACTATTAGATCCACACGGAAAATGTGCGATAAGACTTTCAAATAAAGGGGGGAGGTAGGTGGGTAAAGTCTATTCGAAATGCGTTACGTTTACAAAAAAGTGCGAACTTATGAGATGCTCCCTAATAAGCTGAACTGGCTACACACACCTGTACTACAGTGCTGGCAACTGAAATCCGACCCCTGGGGTCATCGCAAAGACCCAACACGGGATAGCAAAACTACGAAATAGAGACCGCTAGAATGTGAATGCACCGTAGTTTTACCGCTCAGGGGTCGGATTTCAGCTGCCAGCACTGTATGACGACACAGAGATGCAACGCATGTCATGCCACGCTATGCCCAAGTCAAGCCCACCCCTCCCACGGGACAACGCCGACTTACGTGTGATTGAAAGAGGGCTCTCGGACGACTCTTCGCTGGACGTGAACTGCGGCGTGGTGACCGCCACGGCCAGGGGACGTCGTGCTGCCGCTGCTGCTGCCGCCGCTGCTGTTGCTCTTGCACGCTCCTCCTCTGTGCCAATGTACAGTTTAACAAGGAAACATACAGCTAGAATTTACTCAAGGAAACACCTGCTTTCCACAACTACCTGGTCAAGAGACCACCTGCTTTCAGCAACCACCTGATCAAGAGACGATCTGCTTTCAGCAACCACCTGATCAAGAGACCACCTGCTTTCAGCAACCACGTGATCAGAGACCAGTATTTTAGGCAGTGAAGTATGTACGGAATATGCAAAGGTCAACCTGGTTTTAAAGACCACCTGCATTTAAGGACCACCCAAAGGCCTCCTGTGCCCGTCCCATGGGTGATCAGCGATCACTGGCATCAGGTCTAACCCTCACTAGCAGTTGTCTAGCACTTTCAGAATCTGCGTAAAATGCTGAACAGCTTCTGCGGCACTAACAACTACACAGATTGGCAGGGGCGAGGGGTGGGGCGGGGGTGGTGGTGGTTGTGGGCAACAAGAGCATACAGCGAACATACCGTGATGTTGCGTATCGTAGCCGGGCTTATTCTTGTAAAAGCCGATGTCAAGGCTGATGTCAAGGCTAGGCTTCTATTCAAACCAAATCAGGCTTCTATTTAAACCAGGAATTTCTATGTGTGTATGTCAACACTAAAACCAGGCGTATGTGCCGACAGTGCATCTTGAAAATCCGGCTTGTATTCGAAAACAGGCTTCAAAAATCAAAAGGCACACACATAGATACTTGTACACCCAGATACACACACGCACACGCACACGCACACACACACACACACACACACACACACACACACACACACACACTACACACGCACACATACCCACACACACACATGCCCCCCCCACACACACACGACAGCACGTCCACAAATGGCATGTGCCGGCTCAAGTGCTTACCGGCAAGGCGGCGGGCTTCCAGATTGGCCTGTGTCTGTTTCCAAACGAGAGCTCCGCTGGGTGGAGCAGCCACAATAGGCTGCCTCACAACCTCAGTGCTTATAGCCGAAGCAACCCCTGGAGCAGATGCTGCTGTCGTTATCACTTGCGGTTCTTGTGCAACACCAGCGGTGGTGGTTGTTGCTGTTGTCATTGTTGATCTCTGACGTGCTGTGGCTGTTTTCGGTGGCGCTGGTGACAGCGATGACCAAGACGCCATGGACACAAGGTCTGCCGTCGGTGTGCTCTGGTGACGCAGAATGGTGCCAGGCTGCGGTAGGACAAAGTTGAGCGGCGTGGCTGAGAATAGAGAGCAACACATGCACACACACACACACACACACACACGCACGCACACACACACACACACACACACACACACACACGCGCACGCACACACACGCACACGCACACGCACACACACAGACCGTGTACACATTGACACAGCTCCCAGTAGTAGCTGTGCATTGCAGGATCAAGAGTCACATGTGCAGCGTTGAGTTGTGTATCTACAGAGGCTACGGCACAGTGATATCAAACAGATCTTTAAGACCTCTGTTTAACCCCAGTACTTACCCGTGAAGTCAGAGTCCTCCACGGGAGTCTCCGGAACGGTCTCCGAGAGGCTTTCGGTGGCGTCCACAATGACAACGGTCTCGGGCGTGTCGGCAACCCCCTGCTCAGTGACGTCCATGGCCTGATCCTGGGGCGGTGGAGACGACGAATGCTGTCCTTGCCGACCTGGCTGACTGGCGGTGACGATGTCCATCACACGTCCTGAGGAGGAGGACGGCGAGGCAGCGGTGCTCGGAGGCTGTGGTTGCGACGACTGCTGCTGCTGGGCTTGCACTGGCGGCGAGGCAGTGACGACAGGCGGAGGCGACTGCGACAAGATCTGACGACGGGCACGGTCTGGTCAAGAAAACGAAAAACGGACAACAACGCAGATTGGTGCATTAAGCTGAGGGAGTTGAAAACGGGCAAAGTCAGAAGAAAAAATTGACTGTCATCATCAGGACTCAAACCAGGGGCCCTCGCTTATGGCAACGCAGATGGCATGACTCTCTACACATAATGCTATTGGCAAGAGGATTTTTTCATGTACTTACTTGTTCGGACTAGGATTGGTTGACTGACAACACTGGACGCTTGACTGAGGTTTCCAAAACTGGCATCACCACCGCCGCTGCCGCCTTCGACTGCAGACGGTTGTGCAGCGGGCTCGGCGGCCACACTCCTGTGCTGAGAGAGCGCGGCGCCAGCAGCACCACCAGCAACTAGACCTTGCGACGGCGGACGGGATGACGTCATAGCAGTGACGTCGTGATCAGCGTCGACGGGCGGCACACTGTGAGGCGCTATGGTGCTGCCGGAGGTGTCCATGGGCTGTGATGCTGCTGCTGTTCCTGCTGCTGCAACGCGTTGTTGAGATGACACTGGAGCTATAGTACCAGACGATAAAACGAAGAAGAAAAAACGTCATACACACACAACACAAAAACAAGTTGAACAAAAAGTATACAGTCATTGCCACGTTGAGCCCCTCATTCCCAAAATGCAAATAAATAGTGAAACCATTGGCATCCCCCTCCCCACACGCATACATGCACCCCCCCCCCACACACACACACAGCCCCCCCCCCCCCACACACACAGCCCCCCCCACACACACACAATCTTACCCACTGCAGTCGAAGACACTGGAGTTGATGTTACAGGCACATGAGGTGGGGCCGTACCACCAGCAGCATCAGCCACAGCAACAGAGGAGACAGCTGCCCTGACGGCCGGACCCTGAACGCCGTATATCCACTGGGAGTCGACGCGAGACGAGTACTCCTGCGACATGGACAACTGAAGGCTAAACTCGTTGTTATCGCCAGGGTCAGCAGCGGTGGGATCGCCGCCTGCGGAGCTGCTCGGCGCTTGCTGTTGTGATACACTCGGAGCCAATCCACCGCCGGTGGTTACGGATACCGCCTCGGCAGCAGTTCCAGCCGATGCTTCCTGACTGCCGGGCGAGGGAGAAATCACGTTGTACTGCACCGCCGGTGGAGCCATTGCTGCCGCACTGGCAGGGTTAAGCGCTCCGTCGCCTTGACTACCGTGGGCGACAGGTACATACTCACAACGCGTTTCATCGGGGTCGTATTCCTCCGCGTCCATGGGTTCGGGCACGGCTGCTGCTGGCTGCGATGACGTCGACGAAGACTCCTGGGTAGCATGCGAGGACGCCGAAGCGTGCAGTCCATGTGCCGAGTGTTGTCTTGGTGACGCCTGACTGTGAGCCTGTGACGATGAGGGCGATGGTACAGCAGAAACGCCTGCTGCTGCTGCTGCTGCTGCGGCTAAGGATGAAGATGCTGGTGACGAGGATAGAGGCTGAGAGCGCTGGGAAGAGCGGAGCGTCTGTGACGGTTGTGAAGCTAGAAGCACAACACACACACAAACATGTACGGTTCCCAATATGGTTCAAATGGTCGCAAGACCGGGACTCTGCCAACCGGGTCAGGGTTGTAGTCAGGAGCACTATGCGTCCTCGCCTTGTAACATGCTGTCGAAATCGAAACATGTACGGACACACACTAGAACTACAGAGCCGCTCAATGAAATCCAATCGCATCAGCGCGGTGAGTTGTGCCCTGCATCAGTTCACACCCCAGCGTGGCATGTCTAGGACTCCACAGTACCCCAGCGTGGCATTGACTTGCTTGATTTCATTGATCAGCACTGCATTTTTTCACTGAACAACGGGTCAAGGCCTAAAACCATCACGCTATGATCAAACACAATATCTGATGTCTTTCATTGAGTAGCACCGTATTGTCAGAAGGCAAGGGAGTAGCTAACGACCCATACATAGCATTAGACAACAGGACCCACTGCCGAGCAACATTTCAGACACGTGTCAACATTCGTGAAAGTAGCTATGGAGGGCGATGTGAATGAGGGAGTGCATGAGCGAGGGAGTGAGTGAGTGAGGGAGGGAGCGAGTGAGTGAATGAGCGAGGGAGTGAATGAGTGAGGGAGTGAATGAGTGAGAGAGTGAATGAGTGAGGGAGTGAATGAATGAGTGAGTGAGTGAATGAGCGAGGGGTTGAATGAGCGAGGAAGTGAATGAGTGAGCGAGTGAGTGAGTGAGTGAGTGAGCCGGTGAATGAGCGAATGAGTGAGGGAGTGAATGAGTCAGTGAATGAGTGAATGAATGAGTGAGCGAGTGCGCAAGCAATGAACAAACATTGCCATGCAGTGGGGTAAATTCCATACCTGGTTGCGACTGGCGCAGCGCCTGTGTTGAGCCTTGGCTAGAGGCATCCATGGCTTCCTGGCTTGCCTGCTGCTGCTGCTGCTGCTGGGACGGATCCGCACTACTATGCTGGGAGGCAGTAGCGACACCCGAAGCAGCGGGGACTTCAGCAGCTGCCGCCGCCGCCACCACACCACGTACCGGCACTGGGGCCACGCTTGGCGGCAGCGACTCGCTGAACTGCGCCGTATGCATGGAGAGGTCGCCACCGACCATGGCGGAGCAGGGCATGGGCACAAGACTACTCTCGCTGACTGATTGATCACCAGCAATACCAGCACCAGTGACACTACTACCGATCATGCTGCTATCGCCCTCACCAGCAGCCCACTGATGGGCAACGTACGGTCGACCGTAACGATCCTGTGCACGAGGACAAGGGAAAAGAACAGTTCGAGTGGAAAAAGGCAGGACTCCTACATGAAGATTCTCCCGTAATCACACAGTAAAGGAGAGTGAAAGATGGAGCTACATGTAAAACAGAGCGTTGCTGAACCAGATCCTGCGGCGTCCATCTTGCACTGAATAATTGCCAAGGGGCGTGGCAGCCTGTCCGGCAGGTCCACCTTTGGCCGGACCACTTTTTTTTACCACAATGCCAAAAGTGCCCAGAATGCAGGATTTTGCACCCTGAGTTATTTTCACGGGAGACCCCCGGACCCCCTCCAGCCGGACCACCCCCAACGGCAGTGATATGCGCCTGTTGTTATATTTTCAGCGCAAGAGGTTGAACAAAGAGCACACATGGTGGGGAGCTTGGCTACACCAACGATGAACAGGCCGAAAGCTGCTGCTCGCCCACCTGGCCAGGAAAAGGAATGCGTCAAATACCGTGGCTATCAGAAGTGGTAAAAGAGGTGCTCACTCTGCAGTGTGTGCGAAAATGACGCAATTCCCTTATCGCAGCTCTTGATAGAAGCTGCACTTTCTGGGTTCATGTATTGATAAAGGTGGTGGGAATAGACCTAGTTTGGAGTTGACAGGAGGGCATGCACATCGAAACCACGCCTTGTCAACGACCCGTTCTTTCTCAGTTTTAACGACCACACTCAGCCAAGAACAAAACAACAACGAAACACAACAACACACCAACGCTGATGTGGCATCGCAAATCCCGTACCGTGCACGCAGGCACTGGGTTGCAACAGAAAAAAGACGCGCTGCAAGCGTGCCAAGCAGCGAGTGAGTACAGAACGCGTACTAATGCCAGTCATGGCAACGGAAGATAAAATTATGGAGATCGACCCGCGCATGGTTCGATCGAGAGCAGAGTACGAAAAAAGCACACATTCAAAGTTCAAACTGTGCAACAGAAGCAGAAGAGGAAAACGAAAATGAACACTTGTCGTGAAGTGAAGTGCTTCTGTCCAAGGGTGCTTGCACCCGACGGGGTGACAGCGCCCCTAGTCAGACAATACAAGGCAAACGAAATAGAAATTAGCTGAGTCACAGCGCGGGACTCCGAAACGAAAACCGGTGAGTATGTAAATATTAATTGTTTCGTACCTGCTGTACAATGTAACAATTCGTAACGTAATTTCAAACTAGCACTCGTAGAATTGTAGTGCGAATGTGCCACTCGATTATAGTAACAACGACAAAGAGATACTCTTCTAAACATTTCTCTCCCTTCTCACTGTGCCGAAATTCACAGTGACCAAAAAATTCGAAATTGATTATTGTTCTGAAATAGGCAAACAAGGAGCTACTCACAGAATAGCTTACAAAGACGCACGATTGGGCGGGTGTAGGTCTTGTCGCCCACCTTGACCTTCACAACTCGCACGTGTCCGTCTGGACCAGGGTGCACTTCGGTGACACGACCCATTGGCCAAGTGCCCCGTGGGTTGTCTTGGGATGTCACTAGAACGATGTCGTCGACCTTGAGGTCTGTCTCGGCCGTCCTCCACTTGAGTCGCCGGTTCAGCTCTGGCACGACTTCCTGCATCCATCTCCGCCAAAAGTGCAGCACGAGTTCTTGCACTACACGCCAGCGTTGCCGAGGGTTGAACTCGCTCTCGTCCACTCCTGCAGGTGCGAACCGAGTACCGATTTGGCCATACATGAAATGATTGGGCGTTAGCGGAGTTGGGTCACGACCATCTGCCGACACGTAGGACAGTGGCCGTGAGTTCATGAGCGCCTCCGCGCCGACGATAGCAGACAATAGCTCCTCGTCTGTGACCTCCGCGTTCTTCAGAATCGCCGAGATAGCACGCTTTGCCGATTTCACTAACGCCTCATGCACTCCGCCGAAATGTGGTGCTGCTGGAGGGTTGAAACGCCAGCTAGTCTGCTGATCCGCTGTCTGCCGCTGAATCGCCTCTGCATCAAGCTGCTTAACTAGCTGAGCAAGCTCATTGGTGGCGCCGACGAAATTCGTGCCATTGTCGGAGATGACGTCGATCGGTACTCCCCGTCGATTGGTGAAGCGTACGTACGCCTGCAGGAACGAGTCCGTTGTCAACGCGTATGACAGCTCGAGATGCACTGCTCTCGTCTGCAAGCACGTGAACAAGCACAGATACCGCTTGTGTTGTGTCTTGCCGCGACCCTGCTTCGTCATAAACGGTCCGGCGTAGTCTACAGAGACTCGGCCGAATGCGCGTAGCGGCAGGCTGACTCGGACCTTAGGTAGTGGCGCCATCACCTGCATTGCCGGCTTCGTACGGCTCCGGGCGCACCTCGCACACTTGGCTTCCCAAGCTCGCACCTCTTCGCGGCCAGCGACGATCCAGTAGCGCGACGAGAGTTCGGCTAGCGTATGGCTGACACCGAACGCGTGATATCCTCGTTCGTGACATGCCTTGACAATCAGCTGTGTCACATGATCCCCTCGTGGTAGGACAATCGGATTGCGTTGTTCTGCAGTCAAGAAGTCTGCATGCTGTAGTCGACCTCCGACGCGTAGAAGGCCAGCGTCGTCAATCATTGGCTTGAGCGAGACCAGCTTGCTGGTTGCAGGGATCGGCTTGCCTGCCTTAACTGCAGCATACTCTGGTAGCGACTGTTGCTGCGCTCGCTTGATGTAGAACTCCTCAGAGTCTCGGATCGCTGGTGGCGATAATTCGTCAAACTCTCGTTGTGCGGGTGGTACTGAGCAATTCGTAGCGAATCGCACACACCAAGCATGAACACGGCACATTCGTACCCAGTCGGAGTAGCGGCTTGGCTCTAGACGATTCAGCTCGCTGTGGCATTGGTCGACGGTCACCGCAGTCAGCTCGATGGACTCGTCCGTCGGTTGATTGACTGGGCCGATGCAGGTCCAACCTAATGCCGTCCGACGCGCCACGGGCTCATGGCTGTTACCCGAGCGCTCTTCATACGCCATGTGAAGCTCCGGATAGTCGGCACCGATAAGCACGTCAATGTGGCGTTTCGACGGTAGCGGCGGAAACTCAACGTTGGCTAGATGTGCGTACTGCTTTCCCAGGTGATGCCAGTCTACAACTTCCATGTTGCCTGTTGGCTGCTCGATTGTGCACGCATGGAGAGTCGTCGACGTGGCTCCGTCAACACTTCGCAGAGTGCACGATACTGGCACAGTGTGAATGGTCTCTTGCTGTCCATTCAGCTTGCTGATGGTCAGCGACATGCTTGATCCAAGCAGGCCGAGTTCTGCCGTAACATTGCTCGCTATGTACGAGCGCGTGCTGGCGTCGTCCAGCAGCGCGTTAACAGTTAGCGACCGCTTGCCGTTGGATAGCTGAACGGGAACTGTCCGAATCGACGTCACCGTCCGTACTCTATTCTCCTCTCCCTTCGTGCTGTTTCCGAGGGAGACAGCACTGAAGTTCTCCGGCTGCATGGCTCCAGTCTCTCCGGAGGCGTGGGTTGACGACGCTGGAGGCGGTTGACGGGGCTCACTGTGCAGCAGGCGATGGTGATGCTGCGTGCACCCGTTGATACCGCACTCCCGGTCCCGTGGGCAGTCCTTGCCGCTGTGCCCAGTCGCAAGGCATCTATAGCATGACTTGCTTCGCTTCGCTGCTGCCCAGCGCTGGCTTACAGTTTGTTTCTCAAACTCTGGGCAGCGCCAGATCGGGTGCTCGCCACCATTGCAGCATTGGCATGTGGACCTTGCGGTCGGCACGTTGCCAGCGGTGTTTGTAGCTGTCACGAACGTGGTCGTGCGCGGTTGCACAGCGTCGTGAGCAGTTGCCGTCCGAGTCGGCTGATTTCGACTTGTCCCGCTGGTTGACAATTGGTTTCTGACGTGATGCTGCTGGCTGATGCCTTCGATAGTTTCCGTGGCGGCAGCAAGAACTTCTGCCTCGGCATTCAGCCACTCCAGCAGCACCTCGACCGATTCGTCCTTTTGGTGGTGTACTATCCAGCGGCGATACTGGGCCAACAAGTTCACCGGCAGCTTCTGCTGGATCCGCTGGTAGAGAATGCCGGTACCTAGCTCGGTGTGCATACCGGCATCCTTTAACGTCACCACTGCCATGTCGAGCACATCGGTAAAGCGCTCCAGGTCCTGGGCTCTACCGGATCGAATAGGTGGAGATCGTTCCAGCTCTTCCATCCTAACCGCAAGGCGCCGGCGACTCCCACCGAAGCGTCGCTCCAGCCGCCGCAGAGCAGCATCGTATGCTGCTGCCGAGTAGCCAAGACTCTCGATGGCATCCAGCGCCTCACCCGCCACGTACTGTCGGAGCTGCAGCAGTTTGAATTCAGCGGAGAGCGGCTGCTGGTCCACACAAACGCTGAAAGCGGATTTCCAGCGCTCGTATTTTCGCTTCTCTCCGGTGAACACGGCAATTTCGATCCGCTTCAACTTGCTGGCGATGTTGATCTGTGCAGCTGCCGCTGGAGCAGTCCGTGGCGCAGGTCGAGCTGCGGTGCCTCCGACATATGTCGGAACTGGGGCGAATACTGCGGTCTGGGGTGCTTGCATGCCAGCGCTGGGTCTCACACCGTACTGTGACGCTCCGGCAGAGATGGTGTGCGACGGTCCAGTAGACACAGGTGAGTTGTACACGACTGCACTATTGCTCGCACTCCACTGCGGTTGCTGTTGTTGGTACATGTATGCCTGCTGCGGCCTAGCACTATTGTTGCCATACGTTGCATACATCATACTATGTGTTTGATCAGCAGGATCGTGGATCAGGAAGGCAGAGCCTTGTTCCTGATTTATAGCGGGAGCGTTGCTGCCTGTGGTCATAGTTGCAAATGACGCTGGCAGCACTGAACTACGTGGCTGATACTCTGCGGCTGCTGCAGATAAAGCGGTGCATGCATTGCTGTTGATCATATCCATTTGCGGTGGCGCGTGTGCTGACGCGGTTGCCATGGCAACGGTCGGCAAGGGTTCGGCAGGTTCCCCCACACGCTGACCACTGAACATTACAACACGATTGTCCGGCTCTACTTTCACCCGTTCTCCATAGTCTGCAGCCCTGGGCAACATAACCCGCGCATCGTCCTGGCGACCAAGAAACGGTGCATCTTGGAGCGCCGCACGCAGATCTAGAATTTCTCTGCTTTCCTCTCGTACTGACGCCAGTAAAGGCGTTGCCCCTCTCAGTGGCGATTGCTGGGGACTGGGAGTCTGCCTGGTCGACGCTGCCAGGCTCGCTCTGCTGCTCCTGATGAGCACACTCCTGGCCAATTCCATGGCATCTGAATACTGGCCTTCCAGCTGCTTGTACTGCTTTTGGAGACCAGCATGTCTCCTAGAGTCAGTATCCACCACCGCTTCCATGTACTCCATGATGACCTTCTTGGTCTCGTCATACACTGTCGTCAAGTGGCTTCTCCATGCCTTTACGTCATCTTGATTCGGCACCTCATTCGTTGACTCCACTGTCAAATTTCTCCTCGTATTTGTGAAATCCGTTTTCAGCTCTCGCTTTTTCCGTGCGAGGTCTTCTAGTTTTACCTCCATGATGGCTCCGTGATAACCATCCTCTGCTACCAATAGTTTGGAGTTGACAGGAGGGCATGCACATCGAAACCACGCCTTGTCAACGACCCGTTCTTTCTCAGTTTTAACGACCACACTCAGCCAAGAACAAAACAACAACGAAACACAACAACACACCAACGCTGATGTGGCATCGCAAATCCCGTACCGTGCACGCAGGCACTGGGTTGCAACAGAAAAAAGACGCGCTGCAAGCGTGCCAAGCAGCGAGTGAGTACAGAACGCGTACTAATGCCAGTCATGGCAACGGAAGATAAAATTATGGAGATCGACCCGCGCATGGTTCGATCGAGAGCAGAGTACGAAAAAAGCACACATTCAAAGTTCAAACTGTGCAACAGAAGCAGAAGAGGAAAACGAAAATGAACACTTGTCGTGAAGTGAAGTGCTTCTGTCCAAGGGTGCTTGCACCCGACGGGGTGACAGCGCCCCTAGTCAGACAATACAAGGCAAACGAAATAGAAATTAGCTGAGTCACAGCGCGGGACTCCGAAACGAAAACCGGTGAGTATGTAAATATTAATTGTTTCGTACCTGCTGTACAATGTAACAATTCGTAACGTAATTTCAAACTAGCACTCGTAGAATTGTAGTGCGAATGTGCCACTCGATTATAGTAACAACGACAAAGAGATACTCTTCTAAACAAGACCATTTGCGCAAATAATAGTAGGGGGGCCGAAAGGGGGCAAGCGTACGCGTAGGGGGGCGTCAGGTGACCCAGCGCTAGCGCGCTGCAGCAGCGCACATGCAGCAGCGCTGGGTCAAGCAGACAAAGTACACACTTTCTTGCTGGTTTCGTTTTTTTCGAGTAGACAGAGCTGGTGCACAGTCGAGTCACACGGTCATGGAGGGCGAGGACGGCAGAGTCGGTACGAGTAGTGTCGGAGAGCTGGTAGAGCAGGTTCCTCAGCCTTCTTGGACTATAAAGCAGCTGAGAGATTATCTACGAAAGCAGGGTGGTTTGTTGACAGGACGGAAAGCGGAACTACTTACGAGGTACGTTCATACGGGGCTTCGTCGACTAATTTTTTTTACCTACACTCACTCACGAACTGCGCGTGACATTTGTTCTACATCCAGGGCGTTATTCTACAAATCCAATCCCGAAGCACCAAGAAGCAAGCGGTCGACCCGTGATGCAGCTCCCGTCGCCACGCGCACGCCAGCACCAGTATTTCCTGACTCTGGCTGGACCCAAGACAGACCGAAACTTCCTCGTGTAACAGCATCCACGATCTTGTCGCATTTGCTGCTTACTGGAATTAGAAAGCAAGTTCGCACCAGTGAGAGCCATGTACTCATCATCAGGAAGCCTCTAGATCGGGGACACGAGCTGTATTTTGGTGGACACATTCACGATGTTAGTGTGTGCTGTGTGGAGGCCGAGATTTTTATCGAAGCCAAGTGCTGGGCAACCCAGAAGAAGTCTACCAAGTACAGCTTGCGACTTGTGTTCACAGATGACGCC